CTTTTCATTGCAGGTAGCTCAACAAATGGAAATACTTCCCTCGCACAGCCCTGCACTTTCAGCAGAGGAGCACCCAGACACAGCCACAGCCCTGCACACCAAGCCTTGGGTGAGCCCTGGCGTCACCACAGCCACGGCAAGGCCTTGCGAAGGCTCCATCCCACTGGGGTGCTCTGCTGCTCCGCACGCAAGGTGAGCTCTGGGATGCGAGGTTTCACTGAAACACAGAGCCCAGTGCTGTTCGTCAGCCAGAGTCTTGGAAAATGGCTTTATTCCATTAGAAGTTACACTTTATCTAAAGTGAATGATTAAAACCCTAAACACATCAAGGTACCTTCTGGCTGTTTATAAGATTCCAACGATCACCTGAGACTGGCCCGTTTCAAGAGAGTTAAAAATGAAGTTCAGCACAAGGTCTGTGACTCCATGCCAGGTCCTAAGTTGAAAGGAAACTCTTAAATTTGATTTCCACAGGCTTTGGATCTAGACCTAAATTGAGGTTCTATTTGAGTATGTGTGTATATATATGAGTGTAAGCAGGTAAGTAATTGGACTGGCTGGAGGAAAACAAGACCAATATAAAGCATGATTTATCAGAGTATTTCCTGAATGAACAGAAAGAACAAGTACATTTCTTTTCTGTCCTTGAGCAGATAACTGCGCTATGCTTGTCTGATGAGTACCTGCAGCAGTTACTATGTTGAGCTCAGGATCAGAAATAAATCTCTGCATACCCAGAGTCCGCACCGTAAACATGTTTGGAGGGCCCCATTAGACACTTTGACACAACAATTTTAAGTAGGCTCAAGTTCCTCACAGACGTCAGCATTTAGGTGGTATCTGCCTCTCTTTCTTGCTTTCTCTCTCTCTTTTTTATTTAAAGAAAGCAGCCTAACTATTTTTAGCCTTTAAAAACACAGGTCTGTGCTTTTACACTTTGTGGAACACAATATTAGTTGATGTTGGTCTAAATGTAGGGTGCAATTAAGACATTAAGGACATCACCACTTTGTTTACTACTCTCGCGCTTAAGGAACAGAATCCGAAATGCCACTTTCCTGGCAGCGAGCACGAATGACACAATGTCACAGCAGGCATGGTGAATATGTGTAACAAGGACAAGCAGCCACCGTGTCTCTTCTGTTTGGAGCTATGCCCACTGAAAACGCAATCAATCACGATCTATTTGTGCACTGACAGCGTCTTTTATATGCTGTGAGCCGTTAATAGCCACTGTCCAGAAAGATGAAAGTAATGATTTAAATAAAGGTAGTTATTGCAAACACTACTGAAAGAATGCTCTGCTTACCTTTCAGATATCAAGTTGCTGGAAAAATACAACTGCAAAAATATGCCCTGTAAGAGCTTTCATGAGGTGCTGGTAAGAAACTCACTAACGCCTTTCAGTACTTTGTTTTCTAAGTTCACGTCAACAGTTTTAGAAAGAAGTTAGGAAGGTGCGAGACTCTAAAAGCTCACTCCAATGTATAAGCACATCTGTTTCCCAGGTTAAAAAAGAAGAAAATGCTATCAGAAAGTCTACCATTCTTCAGTGCCATAATTCGTCTTCGCGCCGTGCAAGTTTTGGCTCTGACGCGAATGCCCAAATGTCAGATCAGCCAGTTCTGCACAGACACAGCATCAGGTAACGCACCATTACAACAGTACTAAGAAATAATCTGACCTTGTGTTCCAGAAAAGAATCAGATAACGTTTTCTCAGGTGGGAATTACTACAGAAATCCTGCAATTTAAACAGGACAAAAGGCAGAACTGTTTGGTCCCTGTTCTCAGTAGTTTCTGGAGTCACTTTTGCTATCTCAGATTTTAGAAAAATGAGGAGAACAGCGGCAGTCAGCGGCAGAGCCCACAGAAGAACCTTCCTTACGCTCCAAGCCAGGCCATTCCAGGCCTTTGCCATGGAAGACACTTTTTTGGAAAGCTTTCGCTCTGTGCATCGATGCCACCGTGTCCTCCCCCAGCTGGCACAGCCACCAGCGCTGGCTTGTGCTTTGTCCCTCAAAATAAGGATTTCTGCCTAACCCGAAAAACCTGGCCAAAAAAAGAAGAGGGCAAAAAAGATTGCATCCAATCTGTTGAGTGCTTTAAACTCACTCGAAAGCACGTTTTGGTCTCATTTCTGCGTATTTTAGTTTGTAGCATCTTAATGAGCGAGATGCTTTGCTGCCACGTCCCTCTGTCCCCAGCACGCCTGGTGTCAGCGTGCAGCACCCTGGCGAGGCTCGAAAAACCTGGCAAAAAAAAGAAGAGGGCAAAAAAGATTGCATCCAATCTGTTGAGTGCTTTAAACTCACTCGAAAGCACGTTTTGGTCTCATTTCTGCGTATTTTAGTTTGTAGCATCTTAATGAGCGAGATGCTTTGCTGCCACGTCCCTCTGTCCCCAGCACGCCTGGTGTCAGCGTGCAGCACCCTGGCGAGGCACAGGAAAGCTCCCGCTTCTGATACTGGCCACACACCAGACTACTCTTGCTCGGCAGACTACTGCAACCTGGTACTAACGACTTCAGGGCAAACGTGCATCTCCCGCAGAGCACACTGTCAATACACTTACACAGGTGCAGCAGCTTTTAGCAGGCAAACACACCGGTACTATCAAACAAAAAAGAGCACTGCAGTTTTAGGAATGCTTAAAGTAAAAAGTTCAAACATTTTATCTATTCTGAGAATAAAGAAACAATTACTTTTTAACCAAAGTCAAAGGATATGCTGGTGGATGTTTTTCACTTACTTTTCCCAATCTGCTTACATGCTGTTTACCATGAGGTTTGTTTTGCTGTCACATGCAGTGAGCTGGCAGAGAGAAACACCAGATGTCTGGGTACTTGACACATCACAAACCTGAACCTGCTTTGCATTTCTTACCATATACTCCTTTGTCCAGGAGAAGTAAAAACTCATCCACTGCATTTCGCATCTCGGACTCAGTAAGATCCAGCAGAGAAACAACTTTGAAGTCCAGCTGTCTTAGTAAATTAGTCAATTCATAGACGTCCACCATCGGTGCCTTGAGCTGGGGGTGATTCCAGTAGCTCATGTTTCCTATCAGCAGCGCTACCTTGTCTGTCGCTGCAGAGACAAAGGAAAAACACAACCACAGCACGTTTAGATATTCCATGGGCTCAACACCTTTACATTTCATTTCTCCTAAAGTGAAAACGGTATCCAACCTCAGGTCAAGCACAACATTTCACATGATTTTAAGCGTCATCCTACATCAACAATACAGCTCAACTCTCTTCTCAGCCAAAAACCAAAAAAAACCCCATTTCAGCATGGTCCTGGATAACCTGTCAGGAAGTAAGGCAGTAAGGCTGTCTCCCATTCCTTTCAGTTTCTGACAGCACAGACGATTTCTGAATTTCCCCATGCAAGAAGAAATCTAATAAACATGAAAGTTCTCATGGCAAGGCACAGAGCTGTGGCTGCTATCGTTTCCCTAAAAAATCTCTGCTTCTTAAAAAACCACACACCAAAGACCACTTTCACATCTCCATCTACCATGCCCCATCTCTCCAAAACGCAGCACACTGAGGCGGAAACTCTTCCAGGTCAGAAGTACAAAGTCCTTTTTCTGTCTGTTAAGGTTTCTTTTAAGGTTAAAAACAATTACACAGAGACACAAGAACTTTACAAAATTCAGAGGGAAGCCTACCGATGTTCTCATGGTTTGAGATGCGTTCACTTTGATTTTAGTAAAGTCAGAAGTAATTCTGTCATAACTAAACCAAGCAGCAATGAAAGGGGAAAGAAGCCAGAAATGCTTTAGAGACCACTCCTCTGATTTTAATCCAAAAATTGCACACTAAGTTACAGAAACACTCTTATTCAAAGCAAGGCATTTCCTCCCTGGTTTGTTACTTCTCTCCAACAGGAACTGCTGTCCCACAGCACTGGGGGGAAATGAGACCACGTGAATGCCCTAAACCTGCTTCAGAGTCAGTAACCCCGCATGAGAATCTGTCCACAGCTGCAAGGTCTAACATTTCGCCTTCCAGCAAGACATTTTCAACATTTTTGGAAAAACTCCAAGGTCTTAAACAGCACAAACCATTTTAAACAGCAGGGACTGAGTGACAGTGGCATACTGTCATTGAAAAGCACTTTCAGAAGTGCAAGCTTTCTAACTAACTTAGAAAACATGAATGAGGAGTGGGGAGCACTTACACTGATGACCCTGACAGTGGTAAAACTCTGACAGAGGCCGGCAGGATTTACCGTGGACAAGACAACGTGCCAAGGTTACCATGCAAATTTAAGAATGCGATTAAAGAACCCCAGCAACCATTCTTCATACCACACGAGTGCTGTCCGTCTGTCTTTATGGGCCTTAGCTCAGGTCCCAAGCATGTGGAGCCCGCCCAGGCAGAGCCGCGCTCGGGACAGCGTTCCCGTGCCACGTCAGCCCAGTGACGCCGGCCCCAGCTGCCCCAGCACTCGGTCCAGCAGCAGCCTCGGGAGGTCGTGGCCAGAGGAATGTGAAACAGTAAACTGAGGCAAACGAGAGGTTGGCAACGCGCCACCGAGTCACTAAAAATACCAGTGTCCTCACCGTGGTTTACTACTGAAAGGGCACGCAAGCGTTCTGAAGGACTGCGAAAATACACCAAGTCTCCCTCCCTGCAGCTATCGACACACACCACAGTTACTTCACCAGCAGTGGCAGGGGAAGGAAAGTCTGTTTCCTAGATGTGAAGTACAGACGTTCGTTACAGCTGCAGAACTACTTACCAACAGGTCTGTGGTTCGATTGTTCCTGTAGGTCTGCTAGAAAAGATTAAAAGAGCAGATTGTCAGTAACTGCAGTCAGCTGCCAGAGTCCGAAAATGAACAGCATGTTCCATACAGCCGTAGTCTATTGGTACTGCTTTACCTAAAAACTACTAGCTTAGGACCAAAAAAAATACTCTGTTTGTTTGTTTTCGTGAGGCTTTCAAATCACAGTAGCTTCAAATCACAGTAGCTCACTCCAAGATGAATTCAAGAAATACCCCAATTCAGCGTACGGTGGCTGACAAGCCAGACACCTTACATCTTTTTCACTTTAATCACCTGAAAAAGCAGCAACATGCTACAACTTAGAGTCCAAAGAAGCCACCAGCAAGAAACCAAAAGATAATCCCTTCTGTACTTGTATAAGTGCACACGCAGTATAAAAGAGCACCTCTGTGTGACTTTACAAAAATAACAGCAACCCTCTGTTTCCCTATAGTCCTCAAGTTAATTTATTGGAACCAGAAAGCTGTGCTGCTCTTAACATGATATCTGGCTGTATTAAATCCCCAGTTATAAATACATCCAAATAATGTAAACTATATATTTTTAACGCTAGGCTTCAGTGACTTGTGACATAAAATGAAGCTGCAAAATTGAACCGTTTCAAAACTTATCACTTACCTGGTTTTTGAAGATCACTTAGATCTTCTGCAAAGAAATATACAAAAAAAACCATAGTTGAAACAAGCAGCAAAAAATACATTAATAAAAATATAATTAAATGTCATGCCATTATAACAGAAGCCAACAAACCACCTTTCTAAAATAGTTTTGGCTTTGCATTTCTGTACATCTAACACTTCGTATGTTCATTCCACATGCAGAGAAGAGAAAACCCTACATCATTACATTGGGCTAAGATAGACACAGCATTATAATACAGCCGATGTCAAACCCATCCTATGCCTCAGTGCCACAGGCATGCAAGCAGCTTGAGTGAATGAGGAACAAGATGTCAGAATCGCCTGTTTGTAAAATAGGTGTTAGAAGGACTGCTGAAAAAGCAGCATCCGGAGCAAGAACTCTGCCTTTGTGAAGCCATGTGTGTTCAGAAAGGCTCAGACACAACTTCCAAGCACTCCAAGCTACTGCAGGTTTCACCCAATTATTATGGAACAACGGAGAAGTCATTCACCCGCAGCACCAGAGGTCTGGGAGCAGGCCTGCGCCGCGCCGTGCCGCCCGGGCCTCAGCAATCAAGGGGCGGTATCAGCACTAGAGGTCACAAACACTTCTTCCTCCCCATTGCAGCAAGGCAAAGGAGCACAGAAATCACCCTGACAAAGCTGTGCAAAGCCCTCCTGCAGACACAGAGCTGATGAGGAACCAGCCCTGTTCAGCTCCTTAAGGCCACCCGTGTTCCTAAACATCTCCAGCTTTTCTTGCAAGGATGTTGCCTCCTGAGCCCAGCCAAAGAAATCTCAAGATACTCACATTTCACTAGAAACTGTAAGCACAGGAGAAAAATAGTGCAAAAATCAAAGAACTTTGAATGCAACAGAAGCAGCAAGTAGCTTGTTTTTTCTGCCACATGCTCTAGATCGTGGTGTCAAGGCAAAGAGAAAAGCACGTGCAGAAGGAACCCTGCATCATGCATCAGTGTTTTAACCCAGACATGCTTTTCAGGAGGACACTCAGTAATCCATCACCCCCATCATTCATTTAAAAAGCTGATTCACAACTGAAGATGTACTTTACCTTCTGTGCACTCCACGGCCACAGCTTTCCTTCCTTGTGTGTTAAGGGAGGGGGAAACGAGAAGACAATTGCTCTCAGTTACGAGAGGCAGTGCACAAAGCGGAAGACAAAGGTGACCTCCGAGTGTCTCTGCAATCTGGCTTTTCATAGCAGCGTAAATCAGCACTGACCGCGCCGCTGTACAGTGACTATCACTAGAACACAGGAGCACTAAACTAGAGTACTTCTTAGGATAGGAAAAAACTTTTCATGTGAATTATGCAATAGTGTTCCCAGATATATCTGAAAGCTAAACAAACTTCTCTAGTTTGCTGCAGTTATTTACTTCATTTATTCTGTTTGCTGTGAATAATCCCAACCTGTGCTGATTGCTGAAAGACCTAGTGTAACACAGTTCATATCACCAACAAGGGTTAAACTGTTTTTCAGTTATCAAACATGAAGAAATCAGCTTGCAGTCTGCTGACAAGCCATGTACATGCTAGCAGTATCGAGAAGTGGTAGCATTTCTATGCTGGTTACTATAAAAACCAAATGCACTTTACAAAGCTCTAAAATTGCTACCAGCAAGAACTATTTCAACAAATGAATAAACTAAACATAGAGAAGTCTACGTGCTTGGCTTAGCACTGAAAGCTTCAAAAATAAATTCTAACGATAGGGGAGAAATTGATAAATCAACTGACCTGCATCAAACAGAAAAACTCCTTACCTATAACCACTTCTATCTTCTTGCTGTCTTGATCTTCCCGCTCATTGAATACACGGCACCAGTACGTCCCCTGGTGCTCCACATCCACGTAAGTCACCTACCCAAGCATCACCACAGTTGTCCCATCAGACCCAAAAGAATATTTGTATCAGTTTCATTCAAGCCCGCAAGCAAAAAAGTGAAAACTAAAATCAAAGCCTAAACAAATTCAAAAGCTCGTCCTGGACAGCGTGCATGTTCTGGAAATGCTTTCAAGAACTGAGGAAATGCAAATCCACCTCGCAGGCTTGAGGTGCACGAAGCGCTAACTGCACCAGCTCGCACGAATCAGTGCTTGGCAGTGCAGGGGGGAAGGACAATCTTCCACTTCTACTGATACTTGACCTCTGTTATGCCAGTGTCACACTAATCCAACACACACTGCAGCCATCCAACCCATGACTACAACCTGAAACAGGTTCAGGATTAAAGTGACGCGCTCCAGACCCTCAGAACAGCATGGGCAAGCGAGGAGCACAAGAGGAGAGCAGCTTACGGCATGCACTTCCGTAACAGGTATGGAGGCTATGGAGTTATTTCCTTCAAGGAAGCTTTATGTGGTGAGTGAACACATCAGTCCCCCAAGGCTGGCACCTTGCAGGCACTTACCATGTAGACATTTTGGCTCCCGTTGGCCACAGGAAATCCATTTCTGAACCACTGGTATTGAGGAACTGGGTTTCCAACAGCTCCGCATTCGAGCACCAACGCATCCCCCACCGTCAGGTTCTGCGGCTGAGGCTGAATACAGATGCGCAACTTGTTTTCGGGCAAACCAAGTAAGCTCCCTTAAAAAAAAAGGGAAGAAACAAAGAAAAGGAAGGGTGAGACAATCTAACAGCACACAGACAAATAAGAACTGTCAACATATGGCCACATTTTCCTGTAACTAAAGCACTGTTTTAATAGCAATGAAATTATCTGCCCTTTAAGTGCATGCTAAAAACGAGGAGCAACAGCTTTCCATTTCTTCAGTTGCAAAGTAAAACAGGAATGTACATTAAATATATCTCAGAAGTTAAAAAAAAGAAAAGAAAAAGCCAAGCCCTGTGCGTTCTTTGTTTCTGTCCTGAGGGTTACAAAGGCTCCAGAGAAGGAGCAAGAACAAAGGCGAGCGGCTGCTGAAGGATGGGCTGAGGACCCAGCCTGTGTGCAAGTGTGTATGCAGGAAGAAGAATTTAAAACTTGAACTTGGTTTTAGCATATATCTGTTCTTCTCATTCTAAACTGAGCATCAAATCGTATGGTTAACATACTAAAAAAGCCTAAAGCTAAAAATGCTTAAGACAACCATGAAAGACAGATTTTACAGAGCGGAGAACGGTTGAGCTCTCACTAAACAAAGAGCAATGAAATAAGAGGAGAGAAATATATCTGAAAGAAAGCAAGCAACCAAGGGAGCAGGGAGAGTGAAAGAAAAGACAGTGAGCAGCACTAAAACTCACTTCCACGTCGGTTCCTGGCTGGCCAAGAGTCACGGCGCACAAAGCGAGGCGCTAGTCTGTGCATACCCTTCAGTCACCCAAACTTCTGCCAAGCGTGAATCAATACTGCTGTTTGTCTCAGCTTTTTTTTAAAAGTAGTCATTACGAACTTACTCATCTCAGCTTTCTGGTGTAATCAGCAAGATCTAAACCTGCAGGTTTCAAACTGAATAGAACCTGAAGTAGGAAAGGAAAAGCAGAAGAAATCATCGCTGAGAGAAGGGACCAAGAATACGTTCAAGATAAGAAGATGGAAAAAGGTGACCTCCAATGACATTGCGATGCCCTTTGATCTCTTACTGGAAGATTGCTTCTATCTCTTTTCTTGACATGAATCATTTTTAAACGTGGGATGCAAGCGGAAAACACCTTTGACTGGTGACATAAGACAAAGTAAGTGCTCTTCACAGTCTGAACACAGCGCAGCTGAGTTCTGTCTCGCTCATCTGCAGGCCAGCAGCAGGCAAGTCCAGGCTATTTAGTTAGAAAGTTTATAAGGGATAGACTTAGTGCATGAGTCAATGCCTATTTAATGCCACCGACTATTCTGTAGAAGCAAAACCAACCAAATAAGCCTACACACACCAGAAAACAAAAATGGCACCACTGCAGGAACCTCAGGAAACTGGAAATAAATGCACAGTATTACTGTACCAGATCCAAGAAGTAAATTGGTTGGGTAAGTTGGTACATTTCAAAGACTGCGATAGCCCATTATGACCTGAAAGAGTGGCTGAAGGGAGATCTTCCGCTTCGCTACCTGCCAGCCCTGGTTCCAGACCTCAGGCCTGTTTCCTCAGAGCTCACTGACAACTCTCTTTCCATTCCAGAATCCAGGTTTCCTAAAACGTCCAGGCCTCCCGCAGGCACACGCTCTGCTGCAGTTTACTTTTCTGACATTCTAGGTAAGTAGGACTTATTTCTAGGAATGCAGAGAACCTTGTTAAAGTCTCCTAGACTCAAATCCTTTCTTTTCAGGCTGGCAGCAAACAGAAGAAGAGGAAACAAACAGTCCTGACCATTCGGCTGGAGCCAGTGGGGCAGACATTCAGAACAGACCGTGTGTGTCCAGTCACGAGCAAGTTACAACAAGAGATAAACAGGTAAACTACAAGAGAGTTAAAGAATTGCTTTTCTGGTCCCAAATGCTCCAAGAGTTAAAAGGATGGGAGACCGCATGTGTTTTCGATCTACCTGTTCTTATCCACCACTGAGGAACTTCGTTGCTCTTCTGTTTTTAGGACCAATACAAAAGCCCGATAATTGGATACGGTGCTTTTAGTCGGCCCTGTTTCACATCCATGCAAGACAACAGCGAAGACCCAAGTTCCTCCAATGAGTGGGAAGACAGAGTTTCAGATGACCACGTTCCTGCCACTCACCATGAGATGTGCCCTGCAGATCACAAACTTCAAGTCGTGCCCACCGACTGAACACGAAGGAGGATTCGCTGTTCACTCGACAGATGTAAAAGCCAGAATCGTTCACATTCACCGGATTCAAAACCAGCTCTGGAGAATTACCATGGGGAACCTGAATTACAGGTGAGCCAAGAAATATTTACATTTAGATTGAAAGAAATATTCTAATGTTTGATCCCGGTTTACATTAAATCAATGCCTGTCACACCAGCCTCAACTCCTTCACCTGCTGACCTCGCAGCTTCCTTCCGGCCACGCTCCACGATGGAGCCCCCAAGAGTGAAGCGGGCTGAGCACACAGAACTGCCTTTTTGGTTTAGCACATCCATAGGGTCATTATGCGGCTTTTCTTAAACTTTATTTTTATTACTGTATATAGCAGTCTTCTTCCCTTGTAAATAAGAGTAACTGTCTTAAGAAAAAGTATCCTCCAAAATGATTACCTATTATTTTCACCACTTAAAACCCCCTATATTCTGTATCAAATATTACCTCTTTTTCCTGCTTGAACCACTGGTAATGCACAAATGGGTGTCCTGTTGCCCAACAGCATAGCTTGACCGCCTGACCAGACAGCACTGCTTGAGAGTCTGGCTGTACAACGATCTTTATACCTTTAAAAAAGAGTATACACATAAGAAAGTTATTAAGAAATAAAATTCCCCAATTTATGTTGTCCTTTGAGGAAATAAAGTTTCTGCCATTGAATATACTTGAAAATAATTAGTTTGTACTGTGTATACACGCAGTTCCAATTAGTTATGTGACTTTCAAGACATTCAAAATTGTCTTCCATTACACAAAATCCATGCTCACATTGATCAGTACTCTAGAGTTTATTGAAGACTTAAAGTAGATCACTCAGACATTTTAATTTTATGATACTTCAATCCCTCTGACTCTCTAAGGCAAATAATACCTCCAGTGGCATCACAGATCCCTTCAGGGAAAGGCATTCCCAGTTTTAAGAGTTTGCTCACTCCCAACAACTTTTTGGAGTTGTAATCTTCAGGATTAAGCACAGGATAAGTGGAGGAACAGAGAAGAAAACAGAACACAACACGCAATGCAAAGGAACCGCTCACCACCTCCCGTGGGCAGCCCATGCCCACCCAGCTCCCAAGCAAGAGGCAGTGGCACCCGTCAAAACCCCCCCTTTTCCCCTTCACTGCCGAGCGCGATGTTACTCGGTTTGGAGCATGCCCTTGGTCAGCTTGGGCCATCTGCCCCACTGTGTCTCCTCCCAGCCCACCACGTGGAGAAGGCTTTAATGCTGTGCAAACACTGCTCAGCAAAAGCTACAACACTGGTGTGTTACGAGCGCTGATTTGGTCAAAAATCTAAACCACAGCACCGTATGAGCTGCATGAAGAAAATTAATGCTATCTGAGCTAGGCCCTGTGCAACCAGCTACAGAAAAACCACAGAAACAGTAACAGTACAGAGGCATCTCGTCACCACTCCATTACTCTCAGAAATGGACAGACAAAATGGGTATACATACTAAAAATTTCAGATTTTTTCTTTTAGAGTCAGTCCAATTTCCCCGTTTTGGGAGAAAGCAGTTCCCCCTTTATAGTTTAATGCAAACACACTGCAGAAGCTGAAAGTGAAGTCTGTACAGAATCAGTATTCTGACATGTATTGCTGGTGGGATAATCTTACAGAACAGTAGAGAGTAAACCAGCAGCTGTGTGAAAAAGCAGCTGCAGAGACTGCAGACACCCTGGTACCAGACGCTAGATTTTCATTTGCCCCAAGCCCTCCTGTCACACTCTACCAGGAGTCTTCTTGTCTGCTTTTTTTCTGCTCTCGTGTTTAACAGCTCAGTCGCACACCAGAACTTTTTCCTAACAGAGTATCTGAGGAAGGAAACCACCACCGTTTGATCAGTGGGCTGCACCTGAGCAGAAACCCATGTGGTCCTCAGACCAGCGACGTCTGGAAATCCCATCACCTCTGTCGCACAGGGAAGTGGCTACGTTAACTTCCTCCACACCTCCACGCGCAGTCTTGCTCTGAAATAGTTGATTGTGCAGGGTGCTGCTCCAAAGTAGCTGCCAGACTTGAAAATTCCCTGCACTTTCTCTAAATAACTTCCCTCTCTACCCCAGCCCTGAAGCTACCCCGCTTCCTCATTTGCACTTCCTCCACTGTTTCCCATAGTTAAAGGGAGCGTGTTAAGTACAGGTTTTGAGCATCACACTCACCTAACATTAACCAAGACAAACAGGAATTGTATTATATCAATTTAAAGGACAAAAAACAAACAGAAGACTTGCTCCTTCCAAAGACTTCCACTTTTAAAAAAATCTCTCCTGATTTGTATCACTAACATCTCCTAAGAAAGTAGTTGAGAAAAACAGATTCTCTGAAAGATTTGTAGTCTGCACTCCTTGCAAGTATTACAAACAACTTCTAAGAGATCTGATTCATAGTTTCTTCACAGTTTCATTTGTTTCCTGCAATTCATTCAGCACTGTGCAGCTACTTCCTGAAAGGATCACAGAATTTCATGATTCAAAAAGAAAACCTGGCTCAGTTTTCTGAATTAATATAAAGAAACACAAATACTTCTTCAATCTTTCTTGGAAAATGCAAAGCTCAAGTTTTACCATCAAGGATGGCAAACTGACATTTATGGTTACCAGACTTTGAAATATGCAGTGCAAATTAAATGCTCTTAATCTTAGCTGTAATCCAACTGTTAGGTTTTTAGCTGCACACTGGTAAACGTTTTCAGTAATTTCTGGAAACTTGGCCTCAATTACTCACGGGGAACACGGCCTCTCTGCTCCTCTTTCTCTCACAGCTCGGTGAGGTTGCACGAGGACTAGACTGTAACACCACAAACTGCGTATTGAGCCTCTTCCCTTCTTAGCATGGGAGAAAACTCTTTGCATTTGATTCATTTCCAGCAAGTTCACGACACGACAAGATAAAAAAAACGGAAGAAAAAGGATAGAGAAGTGACCCAAGGAACAAGATGTCTAGGCTTTCTCCCTACCAAAAAGGAGAAGTTTTAAAGTTATAATTACTACTATTTTGTGTCTTTATAGGAAGAAGATCTTTTATGGAGTTAGTCCAATTGTGACAGGCAAGTCTCTAAGCTCTGAGAGACAAACAAGGTCCACAACTTGGTTCTGGGAGTCTGCGATTCTCCGAAAGATCCTCTGTAGTGCTGCAAACGGCCTCAAGCTGCACCAGGTGAGCTTTAGCTTGGGTATTAGGAAAAATGTCTTCCCTGAAAGGGTTGTCAAGCACTGGAAGGGGCTGCCCAAATGGCGTCGCCATCCCTGGAGGGATTTAAAAGATGCACAGACGTGGCACTTAGGGACATGGTTTAGTGGTGGACCTGGCAGTGTTCAGTCTAGACTGGACTGGATGACCCCAAAGGTCTTTTCCAACCTAAACAATTCTGTGATCCTACAAACAAAGCGATGTCCCACCTTGTAACAATACATCTGTGCCATAAAGCTACTGAAGGAGCATCACTGCCAAAGCAGACCCCTGAGCACATCAAAACTGGACTCACTAACCAGCTCACAGGTTTGTGTCTCCCTCACTGCATCAGCTGAGCTGGGAGAACGCAGCCTAACAGACCTGTATGACAGCTGGTTTTGTACTACAGTTTTGTAGCTCTTGGTCTGCATGTCTTACCCGTGCACTCCCTCGCCTTGCCCCACTTCTAGACTTGTTTGTGAAGAAACAGGCTGAACGTGTCAGCAAACAATAATCTGGTTCTGTCCTAAGTTAGTTTGTTTTTCTGTCCAATCAGCGAGTTGGACGGATCCAAGATGCACCAGAACTGGCCCTAATTGGATCCTTCCACTTCAATTGGGAAAGCTATGAAATGCTGTTAACGAAACCTGCAGCCCACACAGAAGGCTGGCCACGCTACTTGTCTAACTCAGCCATTTCAGCTCTACAGGCACTTCCCAAAGGCACAGCTCGACACATAGCCCACGCCAGGGAACCACGGCACCTGTCACATCCAGACAGCCAAGCCCAACCCTACAACAACACTGCATTAATCCTGCTTAGCTACTTGGCTTACTTTTAATCTCAGAATCATGAGCCAATTACTGTGGTAATCCTATGAACACCAATTACTAGAATTTAAACACTAAAGATGTTTTCACTTGCTGTAGAAAACAAACACCTCGGTGTTTCCAGTGTAAGACACTGCTGCAGTGAAAGCAGCACTGACCTGAGAGGCTGAGACACTGGAGAGCCTCTGTGTGCTCCAGGGCCTGCAGGGACTCCACCAGCTCCATCACGGTGCAGCCCCGATCTCCCAGCAGCTTCAGGAGGCTCCAGCTGGGGCTGCCTTCTGGCTCCAGCACCTTGAGGGAACACTGCTCTAAATCCAGGGGGCTACAAAATATGAGAAAGACACGGCACAGACCTGTTTAGCGCTGTTTTCCCAGCAAGGAGCAGGGTTTGTCACTTGTAGACAAACAAAAAGATTTTAAAAAATAGAGCTGGGGAATTCCTAGCTGGGTTGGACACACTTGCAGTACTTCCTTCAAGTTTCAGGAGTTCAGAGGTTATACAGTGACACCTCCGCAGACAGAAAGTGGTATTAGCGAGTTGCATGCTACAAAACAAGAGATGCCTACACAATTCTGACCAAATGCATTAAGAAATCTTAATTTTCACTTTTTTAGGTCTGGGCAGAAAAACAAGTACAGCACCTTTCATTTTCATGTGCCTAACTCAGAAGCAGTAAAGAGTGAGCCAGAATCTAACTTGAAAGTCCAGGAAGACTTTGGTTCTCAGAGTAGCTGTTAAAACTGCTGCAGCTCACCTGATGCGCACATCTACCACCACAGTGCAGTTCACTGCTCCGGTAAGTTCATCTCCGGGTGTAAACATGCATAGCCTTAAATTTGGGTGTTAAGTGTTCAGGTACTTTCAATCACAGCAGATTAAAGCAATACAGATAAGGAAATTAACATAGCTATAGAAAGGGAAAATTTATGGAAAGTTTATGTATTCCTACTAAAAAGATTCATCAGTGTTTCTGTCATTAAATCACAGTGCTATGCAAACCGGGAGGTGAGATATTTTCACTTATCACGTAGACTTTCGTAGTGTTTTACTGGATAACATAGACATAAACACAGCAACTGGCCCTGCAGAGGGGCCATATTGTAGTCCTCTGGTTCTATTTCTGATGTTAATAACTAGTCACAGTAGAGAAAGGGCACACCTTCATGATATGCATTCAGTGCTGCACTTGAAATGCCTCCTTTTTTTGAGGTACTACCCTCTAAACAAAACCTTGAAAAACCACAGGGAGCACAGCGATCAGGAAGCGATCTCGAGAAATGTGACCTAGGCAGAAAGAGCTCAGAAAATTAAGTTACCCTAACACAGCCAAGAGGAGCTGCAGGGAGCAGCACAAACATTTTCCCCTTTCCCTGTCTGGGGTCAGCAGTTGGCGACACCGGGTGTCGGGTGAGGTACGAGGGGATGCTGTCACACCACCGTGGTGGCAGAGCCAAAAGACACCTCCCAGAGATGGGCTCTGTGTCCTCGGCCCCCCCGCCGCAGCGCAGGGCTCCGCTCAGAGACGCTCCCCTGACACAGACGAAGCGAGGCTGTGCGGGCCGGGTAACCCTGGCGTCGGGCAGAGGCGGCGACAGAACTCCCGGCGTCCTCTGCC